ATGCGTATAAAGTAAGTCAATTCTTCTGGATGTAAAAACTTGGCGCATCTCAAAAAAATTTTCTCCTTATTTTTGCAAAATCCAGTTGACCATTTTTGGCAACTGAATGCATCAAGTCATTTCAATAACTTTTAATTAGTGCAAATCTTCGGATTAACAATCTCATACAATCCTTTCTATTCAATTGCATTCGAAGGAAGTCGTGACTTTTTAAAGTGTAACAACTTGCGCTTCTCAGGAATTTCCTTGTTCACCACCCAAAAGGTGTTTCGCACTATTTTCCATAAGTTCAGTACTTTTAAAAGGTGTATTCGGCGAGAAGCTTCCAAATCTTCTTTCAGAATAGAAATTCTTTCCGTTTGAAGAAAGGTGGAAGTGGTGTAGTGGCAAGTGGCGCGCTCACCACGCGAGCGGTCCGGGGATCAAATCCTGGGTCGTGAGTCGCCCGGGCCAACCAAGCCTTCCATCCCTCCGGGGTCGGTTAATTGGTACCAGACTTGTCTGGGAGGATAAAACACTGACTTGTACATCGGCTGGCCCCGCAAGTCATTGTATAGGCCACATCGCATTCAAACGCCACTACGAATGTACAAATGGAAGTAGAATGCGTGCCGCATCCCAAAAAGGGATTGATCAACGGCAAATGCTTTATCCTTTATCCTTTTATTGAAGGAAGTTACGTTCATTTGAATACGTGTTCAATTTTAAACATGCCTCCCTAACGCCTCGCTTGACCCTGAAAATCATCGCGCTTGTCCAGGTTTTCGACCACTAATCAAAGGAGGATGTTACCAAGAACGAGAGATGCACATTGAGTGACAATCGGGCCAGCCGGAATCAATTTGAAAAAAAAATCGGTCGCGTCTCATGTTTTCCTCGACGCCTCGCTTGACCATGTCTCACGCGTTGCTCTCTTTTGTTAGCTGGCACTCGTTGCATTATCCCCATTTATTCCCATTTTGCAGGGATGCAGAACATCAAAATTTCACTGACTTTCCTTTTTTGGTTAACTCATACATTGGAAGGCGAATGAAACTACACGGAGAGACTGCAGTAAGTTTTGTAAAGGTGGTGTATGGGATGGTGAAAAGAAATGTTTAACTTTTCAGCCCGACGTTGCAATGGAAGCCATTGTTCAGATGACGGTTGCCTTTTTCAATAAAGAGCAGAACCAGGAAAGCAGGGATCTGCGTCACTTGGTCAACGAAAAGTATAGTCATTTCGTTGTTGACGGATGGCCGTCGCATTTAATGAACGGCAAACCCGGGTAGGACGGAGGAAAATGCATTTGCGATGTGGATACTTCGAAATTAGTCGTGTAAATACTATAGTTGAACAGTATGCGGGTTTTCGCATATAATCGCATTATTTTATTTCGCTGCTGGTTTATTGTTACGCGGTTTCGAATAAAAATAGGCCTCTCGTGACTATACTAATCCATTTGCATTCTTGGTTATTGAAATGGTGCCACTTTATTATAAGTTACAAAACAAATGGAGAAGTTATTGCTAAAGAGCTTCCCAGTTATAATAGCTAGGGTTTTATCCAGATGAGACTACGGTAAAATACAAAGTCTGGTGTTGTTTATCTTTAACCCTTTGACGACAATGCGGATTTGCACGTAGCTTGCTCGTGGGACCACGCCTCTTTTTGGCGCGCCCAACTCTCGCACAAAATGGGGCAAAATTGTCCCTAAAAGCAGTTTTTCTATAGAATTTTTGACTTTGACAGTATACAGATATGACTGCAGTTCTAGGCTTTCATACTGTATATTG